AGGACCCTGAGATCATGACCTGAGCCGAAGGCAGACGCTTAACCAACTGAGCCACCCAGGCGCCCCTAACTAACAGGAATTTAAATAAAAACTTGGAAAGAAGAAAAAATAAACTTCTGTGTAGAAGCAAAAAAAAAAGTGTACAGTGTTGGGGAACTTCGTGGTGGGGGTGGGGGCATCACTGATCCTGAGCCTTTTCAGTGTCTCTACAGGCAGACGTTTCAAGCATTCTCTGAGATGCTCCAGAGTTTGGTAGTAGAAGACCCACATTTGGAAAATCTTGACACCATTTTTAAGGTAAATTGGATATCAGAGAGAAGGAGAAACTATTTCTATTAACTGGTAAAAGTGGAAGAAGAAAATGTGGAAGGATTAAGTTTTAAGAGATAGCAGAGGGGCGCCTGGGTGGCAGAGTTGGTTAAGTGTCTGACTCTTGATTTCAGCTCAGGTCATGATCTCGGGGTTGTGAGATCGAGCCCCTGGTCAGGCTCCATGCTCAGCAGGGAGTCTGCTTGAGATTCTCTGCCTCTCCCTCTGCCCCTCCCCCCACTTGCACACACTTCTCTCTCTCTCTAAAATAAATAAATATATCTTTAAAAAAAGAATAGCAAAGTAGTTGAGAGTATCAGCTATCAATTTTGCATCAGACTTGGCTTCAAATTCTGACTCTGTGCCATTCATGGGTTATAAATTCAGCAAAGAATGTAATCTCTCAGAGTCTTATTTCTTCACTTTTAAATTGAGGTAATAATTATGGTGAATATTGAATAAATGGCCTTCAGTTAGTGGTTTAATGGTTACTATTATTATTCCTTAAATTGCTATTGCTTACTACCATAGAATGGTTTCAATCAGTGACCAGAGAACAGAGGCACCTCATGAGTGAGTAAATAGGCAGGTGCCTACCAGGCAGGATTCAAGGTCATTAATAACCACCTGTCCCCACCTGTACCCATTCCAGCATATGCCATTCTATCATTAGGGATTTGTTCATTGGAGTGCATTCACTGCAGTTCAAGCATCTTACTTTCTTGCCCCTTTTTAAGATGCAGATATCCCAGAAAGGAATAACCCTTTAAACTATTATTAATCATCTGTGCCTAAGTGTAGATGGACATTTATCTTTGCCACAACTGACCTTAACATTATTTCTCATTCCTCTTCTATTTGTACATCAACACTCCAGCCAGATTGGGTTTCTCCCTTTTATCCAGTTGTGCCTTGTACTTTCCTGTGTTGGTAGCTTAATTCAAGTTGTTTCTTCTACTGAAAATCCCACCTCTTTTTTTTTTTTTTTTGGCCACATGGGGCCATAAAATGTCACCTTTTTTATGAAGCTCCTACTGGTGAATGTTATCTTCTCCAGGAATCCCTCCCTGACTGTTACAGGCAGATGCAATTTCTCCATCCTCAGAGTTTTTTAATAGCATGACATTGATTTTCTTTCCTTCCAAAGGAAGAGAATAGGATAAATAATTGAAGAAAGTGGGATGAAGGGAAAATAAATCTAGAAAGTAAGCCTCTTTGGAAGCCAGCCCACCTGATCCCAAATCTTTATGCCTTATTTGCCTTCCCACCACTTTCATTTCCTACCCAAACTGGCTTATCATTTAGGAAGACATTTTCGATATAGTAGTGACCTGTGAACCTTCTCTCTCCACGTTTTGTTCAAAGCAGAATAAAGGTGTTATCCCAAATCTTCCTGGTAAACCATTTAGGCTTCCTTTATTTTTCACAGCAAATGGACCCCTGGTTACAATCAACCAAAGACCATGAGCGGGAACGGGCCACAGCCAGCATGGCTCAAGTACTAAAGTGCTTATCCAGACATCTCAGCCTGAAGGTAAGCAGCCCTTCAGTCACACAGGAAGAAGGATCCAAAGCCATCCTATTACTGCCTATTTCCCCTCCAGTGTATGACCCTGAACTGATGATTCAGTTGATGCCCCATGTAATACCATAGCACTTAGCATTATTCACATGTCTGCCCCTCTAAAATTTGAGCAGTTTGAGGCTAGGTACTATGTTTATTAATCTTGCATCCCTGTTGCTTAACACAACAGCTGGAACATAACAATACAGTAAATATTTTTGAATGAAGGAAGGAAGGAATAAGTGTGACCTGAAAATATCTGAGGGTCCACAGTGACTTAGACTCTCTGCAGTGTTATATTTCAAGTAATAAAGTCCAGCAGCAAATGTAAGTAAATCAATTTAAATATCTCCCAGCATCTCACAGAGAAAGGTTCTGTGGCTTCTCTTTTAAATCCTCTCATTTGGGGGCACCTGGGTGGCTCAGTCGGTTAAGTGTCTGACTTGTTTCAGCTCAGGTCATGATCTCAGGGTCATGAGATCAAACCCCGTGTTGGGCTCTGCACTGATTGTGGAGCTTGCTTAAGATTCTCTCTCCCTCTGCCCCTCCACACTCCCGCCCTGCTTGTGCATACGTACGTGCACATGCACACTCTCTCTCTTAAAAAACAAACAAAAAAGAATGAGCTATTGATACATGCTACAACTTGAATGAATCTCAACATAATCATGCTGTGTGAAAGAAGCCAGACAAAGAAGATATAGATCATATGATTCTATTTAAATAAAATTCCAGAAAATACAAACTTGTATAAAGTGACATCAGATCAGTGGTTACCTGAAAATAGGAGTAGAATGGGGAGGAACAGGAGTGAGAAATTACAAAGTTTACACAAACAAACTTTTTGGAGTGATCCATATGTTCATTATCTTGTGGTGAATGTATACCTAAGTCAAAAATCTTCAAACTATACACTTTAAATATGTACGGTTTGTTGTGTGTCTTACCTCAAAGTCAAAAAAGCTATAAAAATTCTGTTGAGAACTTCAATAGAAAAGAAGAAATGCAATGGCAACTAGGATATGGAGTAAAGATGACAAGATTGGCATGAAATTAATCCAGATAGATCTCCTGATCTAAGCCTGGAAGGATGTGCTGGATTGGGTAGACAGAAGGGACCAGGGGGTAGGGGTTTGATCGGCAAATGACTACCTGGCTATGGCAAGGCAGAATGGCAGTGGAGGTGCTTTTTAGATGCTGTTGGTACTCCACAGCAGACATGAGCGCTACGACCTGCGATACTAGAATCTTAATGATGTCAGACTTGCACTTGGGGGTCCACCCTAATTCTGCACCTGGGGTCCTTCACAAAATCCTACTACTACTGTGTCGTTTGGTAAATAAAGTTACACTCAGCATTGAACAGGCACTGGATCACTTGAGCCATGAGGCAGGCAGTAGATGAGAATGACGTTTCAGGAAGACTCTTCAGTGTTTATGGATAATAAATGCTGAAGGATTTCGGAGGATGGATAGGTCACAGTAGACTGAACTAACATGAGAAGACTGCCCAGTTGTGCTGGTGAGAGTGTGAGCTCCCTGAAGCAGAACGGTGAAGAAGAAAGGGAGCTATTTTAGGAATTAGAAGACACAGTTTCGGGGCGCCTGGGTGGCTCAGTCGTTAAGCGTCTGCCTTCGGCTCAGGTCATGATCCCAGGGTCCTGGGATCGAGTCCCACATCGGGCTC